AACTTACCCTTTCCACAGATATCAGTTGTCATTTGCTTCTTGCCTGAAACAAAGGTCGTTAAGGACGCTAAAAGACCCAGCGGTACCAGAATAACCTTTGTAAAGTACCTGACATAATTGATATAACTTTCCAGAAATAACTCTACCGATATATTAAGTTTACGGCAGTCGACTGTACGACGAGTGCCGTGTTTGAAATACAAATGTAGCATAAAAGATGTCAATAACTGCATTGACAAGTACTAGCTATTAAGTAACAAGAAACCGAATGGCGCTAGCAGGATATATAAATAGATATATTTTCCCAGCGATTATTTCATTTGTGGGGTTTTTTCTACTTAATCATTTTATATCTGGTTCTTTTATGAAAGTGAAATCTCTTAATTCTATTGTCTTAACTTCTGTGTTTTCATTCATTTTTTCGCACGAGATTTACGCAAAATCGATATGAAAAATCTTCGTTGATCCAAATGTATTTTTTCTGAGTTTTGTTCGTGACAAATGGCGCATGATATCCCGTGCACATACACAGCAGTTAGCCCCGAAAGTTCACAAATTGTCTTATAATGTGTTTCGGGTCGTATTTATGTCTTTGATTTCTTCAAAGAGAGTAAACATCAAGAGGTCTGCGTATAAATCGGGGGACTACCACTGAAAGCCTTCATTTGTCTATAAGTGTTTCTTCAATAGCACCTGGTGGTTACCGAAACATTGGCTATGCCTTCGATGCCCTTTATGTCACTCAAAACTTAGAGGATTTATTCTGAGAATTAAGACAACACATCTTGTGCGAGATCCGTGCCTAATGGGTATTTTCAACAGAACTGTTTCATCCGAAATGTCACTATCGAATGACTGGATTTCAGAATCCAAATATCTGTTTAGACCTAGATCTGTAGATATCAATACTGTAACATAACGCGAATCAACGTTATAATAAAAGAACGTGAAGTAACAAAAATACACACATATATATATCATCCGTGAAGCAACAACATGATAACATTACTTGAAGCAACAATTTAGTTTATTTTCATAATAATGCGAAACAACAACTTATAAAACAATGTGAATAAACAAAATAAAAAACGAAAACACGATAATATAACTTGAATCAGAAAGAGGCCAGAAGAACGAGAAACATCAACATATCATAAAGATGTTGAACAGTCCTATACAGATATTTTTCGTTACGCTCCTGTTTGTACTTTGAAGATTGTCTATATTACTGGTAAGTTGTGTCTCTAAGTACTTGGAGTAAGGAATCCTGCAATCTATGACAAATGATGTTGTTTTAGAAATCATTTTCGCTGGTTATAAACATTTTTGCAAAATATTGCAAATACCAGATGTATGTGACACTCTGGTGAATATTTTCGAATTGAATTTGCTATAATTTCTATGTGGATATATCTCAAAATATCTAAGATAATCTGGATTATGTAAATATGAAATAAAACCTTATGTGTTTTTGTAATACATTTTATCTGCTATGACAGATCTCAAATAGGGTAAAATACATTAACATTCAAGGAAAATGTATTGGTCAGAACATTTCAGCAGGCTTAAGTGATCTGAAGGAGCCGTACTTCCTTGGGAGGGTTATTTTGGAGCCGAATTCAGCTGCTAAAGCGATGCATGCGGACGATTAAACTGAGGCACACCATTGATAAATATTATTGAATGTCGAATTCCTCACGGTATTTCCTGTGTTCGGCCTTTCCGAGATCTTCATGTCAGGACATAATTATGTAGTTTACCTTTTTTCTTACACCTTGAGAACACCAGTTCAACTCTTTACCGTTAAACCGTTTAATTAAGAGTGACACACCGTTGATAAATATTACCGAATACCGAATTCCTTCAGTTCTGTTTCCTGTGCGTTGCCTTTTTGAAATCCCTGTTAAAGGACACGATAATGTACCTTATATGTGTTTTTAACATCTGACACACGCCGATTCTACTGACTGCCGTTTAACCCTTGAACTTGTTAACATTTATTTGATTTCTCGTGCATCATCAGCCGCCATTGTCAGAGCCTACTTCAGTATCTCCTTCACACCTAGTGTTTCCGGGAAGGAAAGGAATGCTGGGTAGTCGGATACAGAACTGTAATGGCCGACAGGCGTGAAGTGGTTGAACACATTGGTATTTATTGCATGTGTACACCAAACTATACTCAATTCTTTCATTGCATTTTCCCTTGCTATCAGTAAAGACCGCAATGATCCCTTAATTTGTTTATTTTACATACGGGAAGTGATATTTTTTTCTTAAATTTTGCTGCATTATCACACATCAGTTACGGGTGAATCTGTAGTATCTATATGTGACATATACTCATACATTTATCTTACTTGCTTATACCGCTTTTCTATCAACATTTTATATGTAACTTTATCTTTTTAATGACCTTTTCCTATTGCAATATTTTTCATTATGTATGAGGGATTGCTTTAGTAAATATATTTCCTTAACTCTATTATTGCTATCGTTATAATAATAACAATTTTTCGCTGAAATTTTCTTGACTTACCGATTCTGCGTATTGGTATGTTATTTCGTGCTGCTCTTATGTCGATATCATTGATATTATCTAGAAATAAAATCATATGTCTACAAGATTATTTTATCAGTTATCGAAACCTTATGTTTCTCGCAGTTTCTGTGTCTGAATTTTGATTATGAACTGATTATAAATATATGTAAATTGAATATCAATCTTAAATGGCGTGTGTCATCGATGAAGCAGAAAACGCTTACTCTTCCGGAATATCCTGTCTTGTTCTTTTTATTTTTCTTTTTAAAGTCTTTTGTTCATATTTTGCCTTAGTTTTATTAATCATTATGACTAAGTTGACATGTAAGTAGTTGTTGCATTGTTTTTCTTGTAAAATTGTAGCATATGCAGCATTAAGACCTGTCTTATTAATTTCTGTCCTTTTCTTTTCATAATATCGGAATGCAAATTACCGAGACGAGTTTAATAGCTTATTTCATACATATATTTCTTGTATCCTGTTTGTATGTCGATACATCAGAATAACATAAGGTGTGACCAGACCAAACTTAGTTACAAACTCGAGTCCAGATCAGAGGAAAGGAAATTCATTTGAAACTGAAAACATTATGAAGGAAAGGCGCAAAAGATACGCATAGATCACTGTGCCAGTTTGCAATGGAAGATTAAGCACTGAGGTTATTCATATTTTACATTTTTGATGTTGGTTGTTTTAGTTTTAATGTAAATTTTGTAAATTTTCAGCTCTTAAGATATTTTTTCGTGTCGGTTCTTGACTTCGCTTGTTTTAACATATAAGTCAATTTAAAATATTATCCGTTTGTGTCAACGGACGACTGTAGGCACGCTACCTAGGTAGAGAGCGCTTTCTTAAGATTAACTTTGCAGGTGATTGTTTCAAAACAAAATAAAATTCTCGATCGATTGTTCCAAGTTCGGTGGGGGATTTCTCAATCACCTGAAAATAATTCCCAAGACAAAATAAGATCAGAAGAGCAGAGCGAGTTTATCTGTTAATATCAATAGTGTTATCGATATGGAAATCGGAGGCGTACCTGCCACTCTTTGTCTAGCTGATATCAATACACCGCGAATGTTTACCGACCTGGGCCGGTCATGATCTCCGACACTTTCACAATACAGTGGCACCAACTAACATGGTATCTTGCGTAGGAATTAATCACAGCGTTTTGATAACCGTATTTTCATAAGTTCGGACATGTCCAGTGTTCTTGCCTTTGTCTGAGTAATCCAAAGTGTTCTCTTAAATATACTGTTAGAACATTTTCAAGAACAAAAGTAGTCTCGAGATATATCTTGGTTTTAAGAAGGGTTTGGGTAGGGAAAACTTTAGGCACTATCAGGTGATCATATAATCAACCGCCTTAATACCTCAGGCCGCCCACGTTAATCATACAGCTTGCTATGCTGTCTTTCTAGAATACAAATCGGTCCCAAACTGTCATGGGTATTAGTAGATTTTGGGTACGGTGTAGAACAATGACAAATAAGGGATGTATTAGACGCACAACAGGTGGTTACACAAACGACCTCAATAAGATATCAGGCTTGTTTTCAAACCGCATTTCATTTTTAAAAGAAAGACACCCCAGACAGTACTAGTTTGAAGTATAAAAAGTTTGAAGCGAAACGTACATTTCGGTTATTTAAAGGGTTGATGTCATTTTCTCTAGCTTGCTTTGCTTTCTTAAATGGAAATTGACACCATCAATTGTTATTATTGATAAAGGTAAGAAGGGGGATGAAACAATAGAAGAATAATGATGGGATGATCTGTATACATAAAATACATTACCAGGTAATGACAGTTAAAGTTTCCATTGTTTATAGGTCAGCAGGCTTTTGTTTAGATTGTTTACCGTGTTATCTTAATAGGTTTTAATAATTCTAATTAATAAGATACCCATATAAAAGTATATTGAAAGCATTGCTGTTAATGTTGCATGCATATTCAGTAAAGGATTTTTGGTGTTAGCTAATAAAAAGCAACAAGAAAATACCAACATGCCAATTTTATCATTATTCAAATAGAATATGAACAAAAGAAAGACTTAAATGGAGACTCCTGAAAAATTATCTTACTAAGTCAGGATGCTGACAGAGAAATTATTTCTACTCATATATAATTCAGAAATCCGTAATGACGATATCAAGGGTACCGGTTCCAATCAGACATATGGCGTATCAGGTATAATACAGAGGAGAGTTGTATAATCAGAGTATAAAGAATGTGTCTATTTAGAAGTGACATCAGTACGGCCTGGATAAGTCGCCATGCTACAACATTGGAAATGTGAACATTTCAGCGCTACAAAACATTGCTACAGCCCTTAAATGCGTCAAATATATGTATGACCTGTCGTCATATCACCTTGTCATTTGCGAAGACGTAAGCTCGTAATTATTATCCTACTTAATGTCATCTCTATGTACTAAGTGTGTGATTGGCTTATTACAGGCTGGAAGAAAACTATTGTATATGTGAAGGAGTGTGTCTTCCCAGATGTATACTTTATGCTCATTACCTCGACTTCTGTCGGAGAGAGTCCTTAGAACCAGCATGTGCTGCGACATTTGGCAAGGTGCGATTACATTTACACTTAAACATCGAGATATCAATCTTCAAAACAGCTTATAATATTTTCAATTGAACTTTATCGTGGCTATCTCCAGATTTACAATTGCATCAATACAAAATGTATAAACGTAAAAATGTGCTATACTTTCGTGTGATTGGTACAAAAACAGTTAAATATAGGTCGAAACAATAATTACGTCACATATTCAGAAAAATGTACTTAGACTGTCGGAACACAATGCTATATATATATAAGTGGTATGTTTAATCATTGTAGACGATACGACAGAAATTTCCTCATTTGACAACAAGACGACTGGGAACAAGGGGACATTCCAAGTAAGTATACAGCGAAATCTTCATCACTATATAAACACTATAAGGCTATGACGTCAAAATAACATTGCTACTTGAGGGTTTTATGTTATTAGTTCGTGCTAACAGAATAGCTAATTTATAGGAACCAACATTTGGCCGTACGTTATACATTATTTCGTTCTTCTACCATGTACTGGACCCACACTATGGCGAATTGTGTCTTGTTCAATATTTAAAAAAAAATCATGATAGAGCCAAATGAATTCTGAAAATAACTCTATAACTTTTCTAACTAGCAATGCCTTTCCCAGTAGATAATCTAAAATATAATATACGTTGTTTGTAATCAGAATTTAAACATGCTACTTCTATTTAAAGTTTCAACATGCTATTTCTAATTAAATAGTTGACACTATTTGAATGGTTTTGTTCCAGATATCATTATTACGGTATAGGGATACAGGAGACTAGTCAATACTACCACTCAGTTTACACCGGCAAGGGTCTAACGAGGTAAGACACGTATGTCATTACAACCACTCAAGTATACATCGGCAAGGGGCTAATGAGGTAAGACACATATATCATTACAACAATTCAGTATACACCGGCAAGGGGCTAACGAGGTAAGACACATATATCATTACAACCATTCAGTATACACCGGCAAGGGGCTAACGAGGTAAGACACATATATCATTACAACCACTCGGTATACACCGGCAAGGGTTTAACGAGGTAAGAAATACCAAATACTTCTAATCAGTAAACACCACAAAGGGTCTAGCAATATAAGACATACCAAACTATCACTCAGCTTACATTAGTAAGAGTCTAACGAGGTTAGACATATAGATCAATACAAACACTCAGTATACCCGACAAGGGCCTAACAAGAACAACAAAGAACTGACATTTTAACGGAATTATTCTTTAAACACTAATTCGATGAGACTAAGAGAGAATAAGAATAAGAGAGATTTACAAGGGGATTGTTGAAAAGTTCAAGGAGAATAATATTTGGCGTATGCGACTCCTGTTTCATCGTCCACACCCGCCATGTAAATCTTGATAAATCCAAGTAAGCTGTGACACGTTACCAAATGAGAGCCAGGTTAACAACAAATGAGCCAACAGGTTTACTAACGAGCATAAAACGCGTCTATCTTCATATCGCAAAGAGGAATCGAATATTGCTAGAAGCGATCATATGACGACTGCAAAACTCCCCCATTACTTTCTTCAAATTGCATCTCTCGAAACACTATTGCGAATTTGTATGCTGACATGGAAGTAAGTTCTAGAGTATCGAACCAAGTTCGACATGTAAAAACCATAGGCTGGAGATTTAGGAATGTAGCTATCCAGAAATGGAAATTTCACAATAGGGAACTTGAATCATCCTGCTTATCATACGGTTTATATAGAAGAATAAGACGCATTACTCAATACTACCACTCAATATACATAGCCTAAGTTTAGTGAGAAAAAACACGAATATCATTATCACCACTCAATAACTCTGCATGTTCTTGTTGTATATTTCCTGAAATATGAAATATCTCAGATTTGGCTTTTTTTTATCTTGTACAGTTCTTTCTAATGTTGCTATTTTTGCTCATTTATCTCATAATCAACTAATGCTACTGCAAAATTTATTGAGACTGGACGGATGTCTCTACTTGATTTTGGTCACCAGGGTACAGTATAAATATACATTATATATAACCATTGTAAATATTTTTGATGATCTTTTTCCTCTTCAATAGTGTGCGCGATACTCTTTTGATCTTGATGTCAAGGGTCAATCTCGGCTAATTTATTTAATGAATTTTCATTCTACCTAAAACAGTCATTACCCCCTGTAATGATTATGATGACAAATTAGCTACGTAGTATCCTACAATATTCATCTATATCATTATCTAATCCATGCTTTTCACCTGATAAAAATCTGACATAATGTATACTTTCTACTCGTAACAAATGTCCCTGTGCCTACCCTCACCCTCTTAAGAGAGTCCGAAGTATAAGTCTGATACTTCAAACACCTTGGTGTTACTCTTCATACCTGTGGAGATTTACAATGGACCTGGTGACCTTCATAGTTATGTAACAGCAAAACGTAGGTGCGAATAGTCTTTTGTAGACAGGTATATGGTGCATTGATGTAAATTTCCTTCTAAGAAGTGTACATTGTGCCACAATAGGCGCTGATGATCTCTTGAAGTCGTTATTTTCAACACTTTGAGTAATTCAAAAATGGCAGCTGTAAATTATCACAAGTAACTGTATATAGTCGTATTAGGTTGAAAGTAAGGGCTTTTGCAGTTTCAAAGGACATCACCTCCAGGTAGTAATTTCTACTTAATTTGAAATGCCCATATTCGCTATTAGTCACGTTTTATTTCTTAAGAATCTAATATGTTATTTAACCAGTGTTGTAAGTGTTGTAGCATGCCAGGTCTGAAGCTAACCTTAAAACCTATGATTTATATCAGAAAGGAATTATTACAATACACTGTTTATTTTCACGGATTTATACTACTTACACTGCACTTTTACACGTTGATAAGTGGATTCGTTAACTTTATAGCCAGCGGTCTCGTGATTGTTTATTACCAATCGTCTTTAATATGAACTATTATTCATATTATGTTTTATTTCAACTTTATAAAAAGTCAATTTACCCCATGGGAATTATTAATGGCTATTGTATAAAACGTATTTTACGTAAAGTGGGGACAACCTGCAGTGAGTAGCTCGTAAGGTAGGTTGTAAACATGCCCAAATTTAATGCAGGTACAGTGCGAGCTTCACACTTAATTCTGTTTCAAGTATAAACTTGTAAACAGTGAACTTCATATTGCCGATATTTTATTTTCTATTATATTTACATAGTTATAGAAATCCATTAAATGTTATTATGTGTTTTACAGCAGCTGCCTTTTCACCTATACCATGAGTGTCATTTTCCTTCATTTTCCCAATTGTGTTATTCAAATTTTTAAATGTTTGTCTTTTATAAGTTGACATTGTCATATCACTATGCCAAAATATATTTAAGAAAAAATCAATTTTCTGAAAACCTTAAAACGCTCAATGTTGTAAAATTAGTACAAGAGGAAGGCATGTTGGGATTTTGTCATTTGTTTGATTCTTTAAATAACAGTGGAGAAATTGTGTTGCTTATTTTATTCTCAATCACATCAGCGATTTATTTATTATTTCTTTGTGTTTTTGTAGCATTTACTTTACAAATGTATCTTTCTTCAAAGTTTTTGAAAACGATTTTTCACTCCTTTTTGAACTGGTTGAAACAGTTGTTTACCTTTCCTTGATTAAACCGTGCAAATGTGGAATCAATAACGATCCTTATAGACAAAACAAATATAAATAGTATGGAATTCGACATTTTTGGCCCTTGGATTAATGATATATCTCGTCTATTGATTGATGTTGAACTACAGTTTTGACCTATAGTCAGTTAATTGTTTCAAAACATCATGTTTCAATGTCAGATCACCTGGCCTGTTAAGTTTGAGTAATTGTTCTGACCTCTTCATTTGAATAAAATACATTTGTTCTCATTTTTATCTATGATGAATGGGTGATGTTTGTGTTCTGATGTTAAATTTGTAAGTCTATCGACTTTGGGCACGTTGTTTTTCTTCAGTAGTTGATATTATACTTCTACCGAAATCCTTAAAGGATGCTTTTTAATGAGAGGATCACCGCCCTCATTGCTCCTTTGAACAATATACACATGTTTTTCAGTAACAGCGTACACGAATACAGAACGTTAGAAATTCTTCTCTTTATTTTGATAACACAGAGAGATGTTTAGTAGGATAAGCAAATAAGAGCTTTATTAAATTTCTTTGTATTATCTTATCTGTACATGTGTTATTTTGTTGTCAATGTTATGTTATGACGGACCAAACATTAATACCTGGCTTAGTCCAGGTCAAGGAATGGCAGATCCAGGGGACAAATATTTTCATTGTAATCTACAACTCAGTCTTTTCGACAGTAATATTCTCACAATATGATTCTCTTGTCATTAGGACTGGTTATATAACTATAATAATTGTTTTATTTAAGGTATCTAGTCTCAACAGTTGTCGTCTATATTCAGATTTTGTTATATTTGTATTGTGCCAACAGTGTTAGGTTTGAATGCAGTTTTTGAATTCTGAAATTATATAAAAGTATTACCAGGAATAATTTGAAAATGACGTCATAAACACATTGACATTTAAATAAACTATCTGCACTGTTACCTGACTGTCCATTGATTGGCTACTCATTACCAAAATGTTTTTGGAACAAAGAAACGATATTTGCGTTTATACACTGACAAAATTGGAACTTCTCTGAAAATATTTTGATCAGTTTTATCGCCGGACTCTCTCAGAATTCTACTTTATTCAGTCATTGAAGAATACAATATTATTTATGTTAAGTTCAATACATGTTTCTATGTATTTAGGGATATCTTCACGATACATATATAATGTACAAGAATTTAATTTCATTGCGCTGCACTAAGTAAGTGAACTCACACAAACATCGTTCTGGCTATTGGGGTACCCAAGTGGATAAGAAATTATAGCAATTTCTATTCTATTCATAAAGAGAGTTTTGGTAAAAAATTATTAAAAGAAAGAAATTATATTATTGTTTTAAACTGATTGACATATTGTTTTCATCTTTATGGAATATAGAGATTTAAAAAGATAGTTGTAATACCAAATACGGATGTTTCCTGTTTGATTTTCTGATAAATGTTGTAAGCACTGAATTGTAAGTTTGTTTATTTGAAGGTATAAATGACAAATATTTCTTTTTCAAATTTCAGATTTTCCGGATGTAAGCTTAAGAACGAGGTAAGATGACTTTTTTAATATTTCTTTAGTGAAGTTTAATTTTGCATTAGTATTTCATAAATGGAGTGAGGTAGCAGAAGAAAAACACTGATCATGCTTAAATACCTAGGTTTGTTGTTCTTGTAAATCCTGTGTGGCGGAGATATGAGTTACATAAAACTCTAAAACGGAGTAAAGAAAAATCTTTTCCCGCAAATTACTACTCTATGGTTTCCCAACGTTATTACCACAGTTCGTTACGAAAGGTAAATAATATACAAAATGCATTAATCATGAGTTGACTTAACGTCCTTGTCGTTGGGAGCTGTCGCGTGGGGTAGAGGGAAGACCAACATGGAATTTCATCGTCACACCAATCACAGTTTCTATGTGTTATCTCTAATCTTCAAAAGCCCACTTTAGGGGGAAACCGCATCAAAGTCAAAACTCCTTTTAGCTACCTATTTTCTGTAGACATTGGATCATTTAGCAGCAAACCCTGGCTAAAATCTGTCACCAAATGTAATCGTCTAAAATCCTTACTCCTTTCGTGACATTTATACACCCGTAGTCTCTGGTGAATATATTTGGGTAGATGTTCTTGGTTTAGGAATGTATCACTATTGCACTGTTAACATACTGACACTAGTTAGGTATCGCCATGGTATCGCGTCAGATCATGCTTCATAATGTCATCTTAATATCTCAAACCGGCGACGTCTACTTCTGATAGATGTTATTTGTTGTCTCTGAACCAAAGCTGTTCTATGTTTGTGGAACGAGAAACCATCGGAATTACAACTGTAAAGCTGCTGCTGTTTCTCGTGGTTTTTCTTCACAGTATTTCTTACTTCTGCTATGTCATATTGGATCTAACCATTCAATGAATAACAGTACACCAAAATCTTACCCAAGTATGAAATTTAGAACCAAGTAAATATAGTTATACTGCGTTTGTGAATGTATAGTCAAAGTTTTAAAAGATTGATTATAACCTTTAGCAGCGGTGAAATTTACACTTAATCTGTCATCATTTGACCTTTTCTATTGCTTTTCCTTTTTTTTTTTTTTTTTTCGTATAATTTACCAAAGATGCTTAATACAGACTTCAAATTAAATTTGCAATCATCACACTGGGATATATGAGTATGTGATATATACCTGATACTCCATATTTCAAATTCGTTATATTGTTGTTTACTTTTTACCGTTAAATTAACAATTTATATTAACCCTCGACAAATCATAATATATAAGATATTCGTCCTATAACATGTTTTAGGACATGCAGACATTAATGAATGACATCCTACTCAACTATAGATGAATTCAAACGTCACCCTAATTGATAACGAAGGACTGATGACTGATTCGTATGTTTATTCTTAAGGAAGATAAAAGCCGGAACTATCTCTTATTTATTTGTTATGATTTCTATTTACATATACTCTCTCTTTATCCATTTTACTGACTTTACGTCTTCTTTGTTTATTTTACGATTTATCACAACATTCAAACATTAAACCAACTATCAATTTCACTATTACTTAAATCCCTCCGCTGTCGCCACCAACCGAGGCACGCCTGTCTTTATCCGCGGATCGCAAATATACCTAATAGCGCTGTATCGAGCATCTAACATCACTGTATCGCATCATTTACAAGTCTAAGAGGGTATCATATCATACTAACTACTTACATATCACAACACTATCGATAAGTAAACAACCTCTTACACCAACACAAGTAGTGATGTACAAGACATCACAAACCTAACTACAACCCCAACGCTAAAATGTAGTTCATAATCAGCCGGTTATATTGATATTATGATTTGTAGTAGGATTTGTAGATGTTATTGTATGTCTTTTGTGTATTCCGTTGTAACACACTGTCAGTTGAATCTTGAAATTAATGCTGTATATTTCGATGAAACACATGTCTTTTCGGATATGTATTTTGATTTTAAGAATGCTCTAATAGTATAGTAGTATTTCCAAGGTTTTCTTTAATTTTGAAATCTATTTAGTCTTGTTTCTTGACATTATAAACATTTTCTTCTATCTTACAAACAGCTGCTGTTCGTTTACTAGTTTATAATAATATGATAACGAAATCTAGTTTATGCATATAATACAGATCTTTAGAGTGGGGTTGTAGAGAGTATCAAGGGAGCTATTTGCTCCCTGAGGCGGCTTAGAAAATTAAGTCAAATTTCTGCACGATGGACCTTCTCAATAATAATTTATTTCTTCTATGATTCTTGTCTGTAATTGTTGCGTCAATTGTTTGTTTATTTCAGGGAGGATTCACTAGAAAATACACATTAAGTTCAAAGACGGGAACGCTGTTACCCGAATTTCCCAATGCGCAATATCTTATTCTTCCACTGTCAGTTCCTCGAGAAAAGGTAAATAGATTCATATTAATAGACATTATCATTAACTGAAATATCTTTTCTTCTGTTTCTTAACGTTTATTTAGAAATATGCAGAAATGCAAGCAATTAAGGTCATTTTTGGATTTGTGAATGCATTGTTTTGTTGATATTTCGTGGTTATTGCTTTAAAATAGATATTTTGCATATATAACTTTTCCATACAAGTATAATAATTTGACTATTGTAAATTAGTCTCAAATGCATTTATAATTGATATCCGTCTTATCTTCAATATGCAAATTAATTGAAATGTTGAAGTAATGATGAATAGTTGCCCTTTGATTTACGACATTTGGTTAATTACATTTGTGCGCACGTGTATGTCACTTAAATGCTTCGACAACAAAATAAATTGTAAAGGGTTTGGCAAATGACTACCTTGATAACAGAATCGGGAATATTAATTCCATAATAATTGCAATCTTTATTAAACTAGTACATGCCTTGAGAGTTGATTTCGAACTTAAGGTAAATTTATATACGGCTCTATGTTGAGTATCCTCTTGAAGCCGATATATTTTATTGAATTTCCTTAACTGTTTATTGAAACACTGATAAACCCTCCGCTCACGGCCGTATTATTAATGGTCCACAAATCCACTCTTATTCTTCTGGGGAAATGCTTCTAACAATATTTAGTCCTGTTCAAACACCGGAATGTTTGCACTGTGGGTCCAGCCTTACAACTTGTAAAAGGAAAAATGTATCATTTGAGAATTTATCATGAAGGTAATTTCTCTAGCTTCACCGTATGTCAGTCTCACTAAATATACTGGCCACACTAGTGTGTCTATTGACTGTTGTATTGAATCAGAATCTAGATAACGTAAGCTTTGAAATATTCCAGAATACCATACTGTCCTGCTGACAATACTCACTCTCTGTTCCAAGGTGCAAATATTCCAATATTGTATACACAATACAAACCTTTGACGGTACATAATTGCCAGATGCACCTGACTTTTGATGGATTTATTTCTTTCACAGTATACTACGATGTTAATCCGATAGTGATTTATTTACTAGGATCTGTATTGTTAAACTTAAATGTTAGCCTAAAACCTATCATTTAGCCCTCCCTTTTTGCCCTTTCCGGCTAGATCAACTGTATTTTATGCGTTTGAAACATGAGTCTGTATTTTAGACAAAAATGACTCATACTTTAAAACATACATCGAAATAGTCCCACATAGGTCTGTTTTGTTCTATTTCTAACTTGTAGTATATTTTGGATGCCATTTTTATCTGTCTTGTCGGCTACATAAATCTTTTTTGTTTTTTGTTTTTTTTTAATTAGATTTGAAATTCATTGAATACTTCTTGCGAAATGTTTTCTCCCGTTGACTTCACTTATGTATTCAAACACGTCATTTCATCAAATCTATCGAATTCATCAAATGTGTTTCCTGCTATATCTTTCTAGTGTAAAGCAACTATGGACTACTCTAATTTTGGGTAAATAACTGTGACACACATATATTTTCACCGATACTCATGATTGATAACATAAATAACACAGAAAATAAAGATAAATCCATTCAAACTGTGTCTGCCTCCCGGGAACTGGACCTTGGTTTTACATCCATTGACATTAAACAAAAGAATAGACAAGAAAGTTAAAACCACGTAAATTTAACTCATATCTCCTTAATGTGTCCGTCTATCTTCCCAAGGTACACATTAGTCTTATCACTCTCGATATTAGGAAGCAGTTTATCAGTCCCGGACACAGGTTTAGGGGTGGTACCTGACTAATTACCTCCCTTGTCATTCCAGGTAGAGACGTTCGTGATGATGTACAAGACCCATTGTCAGTGCATTCTTGACACGGCCATTAATGCCAACTTTGAAGAGGTAAACTTACAAACAGTGAACGACCGGCTTGTTCCGTGTATTGTCAGCTTTATAACTCTATAGTTAATTATTAGAAATTAAATTTGTATTGATACCAAGTACATTCTATTTCGTTAATTTTACCATCTCTATATTTATGATATAGGGAATGGAGAATATATAACTGTTTGTCCAAATTTTCGTTTTTATACAAAAGAAAATATTTATCATCAGTTCCGTTATGCTGGCTTTGCTCTGAGCAATCAAGCCAGCTTGATTGGCTCAAACTTCTGAACAAATCCACGTTAAATCCATTTTCCTATCTTTTTTGTCGAACGCTTGTCCTTCTTGAGCTCTATCCGCCGCCAGTTAAAGTAATAACACAAGTAAACGAATTTTAAAAAGTGTATTTCTAAAGCAAATATTTGAAGACGAAGTGTGTAAGTAAAGGAAATATGTTTTTCAAAGAAACTATCCTGCTGCCTACAAAACATATTTATCTTGTACAATAAATTTTAATGTCACATTTTATTATTAATACACAAAAATGCGTTTTTATCTTTTTTCGGCCGTTAACATTATTGACAATTCTGTAACATTTTAATGTAAATATTGATCCTAATAATAATTATTAAAAGATCAAACTTAACTCTCTCTTATTTAAACGAAATCACAACATATCACTGTAAATTCTCTAATGTGTATGTATGTGTTATACATGTTAACTATGTTTGTTGTTCATTTGGACAAGACTATCAATATAATACATCCCTTTGAAAGCAACAAGAAGGGAACATCACAGAGAATGAAACAAACTGTAGTTTATATAAAACTTGTATTAAGCGTGATATTAATGATAGATTATGTTAGATGTATTTAGACCGTTGTTTGCCACTCTTAAGGCGACTCCTACCACGAAGCTGCATCCCTTTACACTTGCATTAACCCCTATGTTCCTCCGCCGTTTGATGTCCCCCAAAAGGTTATCTCCGAGGACAGTGTCATATATAGACTTACATTGACAAGGTATCAACTACCTATTACTGGGGATTAGTGCTTTGAAAACAGCACAAACACGCTAGCTTTCCTGTATACCGATAAAGACATTCACTCGTAATTCTTAGATCGTCTTATGGTATCATATTTACATTTAGACCAAAGAAGAACAGCAGGATTGTTTTATATACAGATGTTACATTTAAACTGTATCAACAATGATATAAGTGTTTTACACTTCCTTAGATATCGTTATGTATTGATAGTTATTATTGGTTTATATAGTAAAATAGTTGATTCAACGACAGGTACAAATATAAATCATAATGAAGTAACAGGATAATGGACACGTAGATCGAAATAATTAGGTATATCAAATATTATATATTATAAATATTATATCGGAATCTATAATATGAATGCATGAACTATAAGCCGACGACTATACATAATAATAAATGGTTGGTATTTTTGTGTTTACTTTTACTTTTTGTGAAAAACCGAAAATTGATAAATCTGTAGATACATTTGTAAGATTTTCATATACTCTTGCGAATATATCGGTTCAGAAATGTTTCTTTATTCATTTCCTCAGGATTGTAAAGATTTTTCGATTGTTCCTTGATTGGTGTCTTCAATATGAAATAATTTGAAAATCTATTTTGAGTGTTTCCGGATCAGGTTTTAGATCCAATAATATCATCAACGATGTGCTTTTTTATTGTTTTCCTTGAAATCAAAAACAGGTAAAATTTGGGGGAAATGGCTCACATTGAAACAAATAAGACATTATTAAAACTTAATTGATTTATATAATTATTGCTCGTCGAATCCCTAATTTCCCTAAAACATATATCTGGCAATCAATAAATACAAAATGGAGTCTTAGATGCAAATCAATGTACTTAAATTGTAGCAAACTTTACGCAACCAACTTTACACGCATTGTCTCTTTTTGGCTAATTAGTGCAATGATAAATCCGCGCATATGTACACTGTAATAATTGCATAATACATATTGTATACTATTTATACAACATTCAGAAGCGACATGATAACATGTCAGATCTTCGGTGATTGGGTGATTCATATCTTTACTAAATTACCAAAGGAATTTATCAACATTCGTGATATAAAACGATTACTACTAAACTAGTTGGATGCATGCTTATCACGAGATTTCCGTGTTTTATAATCTCATGCCATAGTTTTCAAATCCCTGGTCATATTCGAGGTCGACAGTAATTATCAATAACATCGTGAGAAAAACAAACAGAAATTGTGAATTTATGATTTGGCTCACTACTTTTTTTCGAAAGGTTCAAATTTCTAAGATTGTCCAAGAGATATCATCTAATTAGAATGTAATTACTTTATACAAAAAACATGGAATTCCATATAGTGTCATCGTTGCCGTATGTTAATCGTATCCTTTTCCACGCATAGTTTAAATCAATGTTTGTTTTCAAGACGTTTCTGATTTACTTCCAGCATCTACAATACCTTTGCTCTATTGAAATTCAACTTTCCATATTTACTTGTCTTCTAATTTATTATCTTTTGAGTCGATACTGAAAAAAGCATGTACTGTGTGGCCTGAATTGCTTGCATGAAAAATATCCCAAGATTTAAGAAAGGACGGAGCAGCAATGCTAAAGTTTAAAATCCTATTACATAACTATGATAAATAAGTAGGATGTGTTTGAGTATAAATCATTTCATGTTAAATTAATCTGAATGTTGTAGAATATTGTTGCCAGTTGTGAACTACATCGTGTTTACAGTAAGGAGACCATATGGCGACCGACTGATTTATCAACGTTAGGAGAAATATTCAATAACAAGGAGAATCAAGTCCTTATACAGAAAAGAAAAAAATGAATTTATAAGCTATCATACTCAATAAGAATCTGTCAGGTCACTAATCCTGCACAAACAGACCTCAGTAGATTTGCATCACCGTATGGGGTCTGGATAAGCAGGGGACACCGTTAATCTTCCCCAGGGATGAGTCACTCAGTATTGCAGACTCGCCTTCAATCCTTGACGTGTAAGCCGTGCTTCACACTGTCGGAATACTCCGAGTGTACAATCCCCTGTTTTTGTCACGTCCAGAAATCTCCTTTTTCATGTTGTGGTATTTGCTCTTTGTCGCCTTCCTTCCTCATAAAATTAACAAATCACACCGTCGCAGATTTGGGTGTTGAATTCAACTGTGTGTATGACAGAAGGGCAGTAGTTATCTGTTAGACTTGTACCGAAGTTAGGACAACATAGTATGGTGCATAATATGTCGGAGTTATTAAATGATTTACAAGTGCAATATGGCAAATGACATCGTGAACATAGGAGGTCTGGGACATTTTTCGATAGACATACCAGTCCCATGCAAACCAATCTTACTGGGAAATACAATACAGATAACATATTGTTGTCCCTGTTGGTTTGGGTCTGTGTATTAAGAGAGGGCACTATGTAAGAAAAATGTGGTAAAACATTGAAAACAAAATCAAATCTATGTATTTAGGTGCCGTTTTGAATATGGATAAACTAATTCATAACGCTTATATTTACCAACTTAAGATATATATCTAGAATTACTATGATTTTATCCAAATCATTTTATACGTGTAGTTGGTGGAGCCTTACGTATTCATTATCTGTGGAAGTCTTTAATCTGTTTATACACTAAATTGAAAACAACCATTACTCCTTACTTACTATTCTATCAACCCTCAGTTTTCCACGATCATTATACTGATAACAGTAAGTACTGATTAATGAGGCTTACACTGTAACCATTTGGTTCGCCACAGTCAGAGATGCCAAAGCTTTGAAGCGTTTCTTACCTAATCGTATTAATGTGTTATCCGTTTGTTGCACTGTGTACACAAATATTTTTATTGGTTTAGACTTATACGTAATTGGCTTAAAGAGCTTAAAGAGGCTAATGAAAATAATGGGGAAGTATTATGGTCGTCCTGGTGATATCATTGAAAAATATACTTTTTCTTTGTGCGATATGAAGCTGGACGTGCTTGATGCTCGTCAGTTTGCCTGTCATTTCCGTTGTTGCATACCTTGATCTCATTTGAGAACATGACATTACTTCCTTCGATTGGCTAAGATCGTAAGAGGCAACTTAAATTGGGGTCTTCATGTTACCTCTCTATTATAAAGATCTTCCTCCTCCCTAATTTTTCCTTGACACTACCTCATTTTTATCCTTTAGTTAACCGTTCACCCCAGTGAAAAGTTTTGTGTTCTGTCCACTGGTCGAAGCATACCACGTTCCGAGACCCTGGCAGCTCATAAATATCAATCTAAATAACAAAATTTCATGTTCATGTAGATAGAAGTTTTATTAAGTAATCTATTATTATTTGTCGTTTACTTATAAACAAATATATGATAAAAAATCAACTTTGTTTTTCCAGATTCAGAATTTTCTGCTCCATTTTTGGCAAGGATTGCCTGAGCACTTACTACCGTTGGTGGAAAACCCAGTAATTATAGATATCATTGCCGTTTGTGACAACATATTATACAAGGTATTGCTTTCACACATTGTAGCGTCTAATTACAGTAATTATACAAAAGGATTTTGTAAACTCATTTAAAAAGAGAACATTTGGTTAATGATTGTTGATATAAATTATATAAATATATTAAATATAGGATAAATTTTATTATTTTTGCAGTTTTAGTAAATTTGGTTTAAAAACGCATTCAATATTCTGTTTTATAAGTCGATGTGCTAACCTCAAACTTAGTAGTAAATTTCATTTCTATTTGTAGGTATTGACTGAAGTTCTAATCCCCGCGACAATGCAAGAAATGCCGGAGACGTAAGTACCCAAATTCAGCAATTATTATCTAGAAATGATAATTAGCTTTGGACTATTTACGTTATTATAAAACCATACTTGTTATGAAATTTTGAACTGACAAGAAAATAGAAAAAAGAGTTCTGGCCTTACAGTTAATTTGTGATTTTCATAAATCTTTAACAAAGGTTTAATCTTATGTCTTTTGTAATTAATTCATAATCAAATAAATAGTCAGTATATTTCTTACAGCTTACTCTGTGATTTACGGAATTTTGCTAAACATTGGGAGAACTGGGTATCCACATCACTAGAGAACCTCCCCGATCTTCTATCCGAGAGTAAACTGCCGATAGCACGACGTTTCGCCCAATCCATGAAAAGACAAATATCATTCCTGCATCTCGCTCAGGTAGTTATATATTTTATAAATAAGCATTCTTGTTTCGTTTTAAATCACCTACTTCTATTTCTTTTTTGTTTAAGTGTGATGTTTAATGTGAAAAATAGTTAAAACCATTTAAGGTTAAGTATTAAATGACGTCAAGCTAGTTTGTAATTGTCTTTATCGTAGAATTTGTTGCTTTGATCCCAAGAAAAATACAACTCAAATCATAACTTATCTACAAGATATGTCACCGCAATTAACGAATTGTTAATTACATTAACAGACTGCCCGTCCTGTGCTGTACGACGCTCAGGTCGTCAATCAGATGATTGCTGATGTCGAAAGAATAGATCTCAACAGTATAGGCACACATGCACTAAATACTAACAACGACGGGGATATTGATACGGAACTGAATGCTGAATGTAAGATCTCGTTTGAAGATGAGTTTCTCGTTCGACGTATATACACTTGCATGCAATGGTATTCAGAATAAAATCACTGCGAATTAAACACAAGGATTGACTTTTCATGTATTTTTGAGGTTCATCTAAATATTTAAAAATTCTAAAATTCATTTAAATAGAAAAATTATCTTCCTAAACACGGTCATGAAAGTGAAAACTTCTAAGTCATAAAGAGCTTGTTTATGATTAATTATTTGTATCGTATGCTGTTTCCTATGTTTGAATATGGACATAAGCATTATGAACATCTTATTGATATGCTTGGTTACTGTTACAGTTCTCAGGGAATTCAAAGAGTTATTGCGGAAACAGGCGACGGTAGAGGCGTGTACAGAATGGTTAGACGGAGTGGTAGAATTAAAGGTGATAAAGGTAGGTTATCTAATGTCAAATATATAATATATAAACTCTTCTGAATTAAGATTAAATGGATGCAATTAAAAACCCTTAAAAATGTACGAAAGGTAAGTTGAGCGTGTAATATACAGCGTTTATTTACATATTACGTCAAGAAAATTATCAATCGATAGAAAATATATGTTGCTTATATTTTGTTACATAATCAAAGAGAACTATGTGCCTGATGATGTGGTTTAACTTTCTTTTATTCGTTTTTTCAATTACAGCCTAGTAAGCAAAATGGTCGATCCTTTAAAAAGCGGGCGTCGTCATTTTTGCTGAAGTGGTCCTTTTTTGGAGCTAGGGTCATGCATAACCTTACTCTCAATAACGCCACAAGCTTTGGTGAGTACTAGGCAGATAATTCTCAAAATTCGTGTCATGTTTTCATTTAGCAACTTAAATAAGGAAATAAGAAGTAATAGACACTGTGAAATGTTGTAATTCCTGTCGAATGACAAAAACATTTCATTAATGGTTTTAGGGTCATTTCACTTGATTCGGATGTTGCTGGACGAATATGTACTAATGGCGGTTGAAACTCAGCTAGCCATGGAGAAAGACGCCGAGATACAGTCCTTACTAGAGAAACACATGAAGACAGGTACGTATTGCTACCGATGGAATTTGTACAGAAATCATCTATTTTCTTTTTGTCTGGAACGAAGTTGAAATGATTGATAAACGAAAATGTAAATTTACCACATTCTGTTAATTTTGTTAATAAAAGAAAGGGATTTTTAAGGTGCTACCTATTGAAAAGGCTGCCAAACAGTGATAATTCTCTAACATTATAATAGAATCAGCCTTATACATTTAAATCTAATACGTCTCGTTATTTACCTTGTGTAATAATGGCATTACATTAAGTAAGATTACATGCCTGCTCCGAACACTAGTGATGGTGATCTGGTAATCATTGATTATCAGCTGATATCATGATGGCGTATTAATACATTTTCCCGAATTAATATTTTGTCCGATAGAAACAAAAAATGGAAACTTTGTTAACGTTTTATGAATATAGTAATTACGTGTGTTTAGACGATTCCGGTGTCCGTCCCAATCTGTCCACTCAACCGAGCACGTGTTTCCTAGCAACTAGGCGGGACATGAATCCGAGAGGCAACATGAATAATGTGAAGAGAGAGCACTTCCTGGACCCACAATTCAACGGGAATGGACTGTACATGGGTCTTAATCACGAAAAAGACGCTCAGAATATGATGTCTAATCATCATCTCAATTCTCTCACGGCAATGACACAGGTAACTTAACACATCTCAATTCTCTCACGGCAATGACACAGGTAACTAAACACATCTTAATTCTCTTACGGCAATGACACAGGTAACTAAACACATCTAAATTCTCTCATGTCAATGACACAGGTAACTAAACACATCTTAATTCTCTCACGGCAATGACACAGGTAACTAAACACATCTAAATTCTCTCACGGCAATGACACAGGTAACTAAACACATCTTAATTCTCTCACAGCAATGACACAGGTAACTATCACATCTAAATTCTCTCACGGCAATGACACAGGTAACTAAACACATCTAAATTCTCTCACGTCAATGACACAAGTAACTAAACACATCTTAATTCTCTCACAGCAATAACACAGGTAACTAAACACATCTAAATTATCTTACGGCAATGACACAGGTAACTAAACACATCTTAATTCTCTCACGGCAATGACACAGGTAACTAAACACATCTTAATTCTCTCACGGTAATGACACAGGTAACTAAACACATCTTAATTCTCTCACGTCAATGACACAGATAGGTGATGACCATATTAACTCTCTCTCTCTTAGCCATTAAAATGCAAATTTATACAGATTTCATCATTGAGATCAACCATATGTAGGATGTTCACCTTTATCTTGTTATACATGGTACCTTCTATCTTAGTTCACCTGCCCAAATGGCATTTAACCAAAAGGCCCAGAAACATGTTATTTGGCTGGCAGGTTTCTAGGATGAAGCCCATCAAAGTTTGCGAATAGAAATTACCTTAACCGATATGCAGGGTCGTGGAATTGAGTGTTAGAAGTTAATGTTTGTCGGATGAATTTCTTAAAATTTATTGAATGTGTTCACATTGAATGTCAATGATGGACGTGTTAATGTATCTATGATGAACATTGATTGTATTGTTGACATTGAATACCAGGTGAGCGATGCAAGCCTATTAGGCCTCTCGTATTTCATGTGTAGCCACCTTTACAATTATCGTGCGCCAATCAGTTTGTTTAACTGTATGTTCCTCGGAGAACTGTCCTGCTATCAGAGTCGTTATACATCAATTTGTTAAATATTTTTTGTTAGAGTGAGAATTCCAATGACTAATGAAAATGTTTACAAAAGTTCGGTGTAGTGATTAGTCTAACGAAATAGTCATTAAGTAGATTATTGGCTGAGAACAGGAAGTTTCTAATGTGTAATAAATTTCTGCCTTTATTGTTTCAGGCTGTACCTGGAAATAACAACCTACAACATACGCCACACACTACACCTCCTATCTCACCTATTGTTGTCAATCCCATAAGGAATACTGTAATCAACTCGAACCTGCCTTACAGCAACAGTAATCAGTCATTAATGGCCCCAGGATACCCATACTTAGGTAGGTGTCACATCGGTCCTTAATGGCCCAAGGATACCCATACTTAGGTAGGTATCTCATCGGTCCTTAATGGGACCAGGCTACCCATACTTAGGTAGGTATCGCATCGGTCCTGAATGGGTCCAGGATATCCATACTTAGGAGGTATCACATCGGTCCTTTATGGGACCAGGCTACCCATACTTAGGTATATATCACATCGGTCCTGAATGGCCCCAGGATATCCATACTTAGGTATCACATTGGTCCTTAATGGCCCCAGAATATCCATACTTAGATATCACATTGGTCCTTAATTGCCCCAGGATACCCATACTTAGGTAGGTATCACATCGGTCCTTAAAAGGCCCAGTGTACCCATACATGGATAGATATATCCAATTTTCCCTCACTGTGTCTGGTTTTGACATCACTTAAGCCAATATCTCACATTTAAATTAATTATTTGCCATTTTCACATTGTAGTTAGAAAAACATGTTGCAGTGTAGAATATTACAGGAATTTGTAGTCAACCTTTTATATCGTTAAGTCATTTAATAACAAATGTCACCGGGAAAAAGATGTGTACTATTTATCGCTATCAACACGGGATAAAATAGAAACGGAAACAAAAATCTGTGGGGTTTTTCTTCTTTTTTTTTTTTTTTTTTGATGGTACATTTTTATTTATAATTTTCGAGAAAATCATGTTTGTTATGATAGGGATCATGTCGACGATATTACAAATAACCGACGTCATAAAAACGATTCGTTTTTCTTGTAATCGATTAAGTATGTATGCACTTCTATGTTACAGGTCAATTATCCGAATATACCGGAACGCCTAACTACGGGCTTGGCAGCTACAATAACTCCTACACATCAAGCGCCTTCAGGTCTCACATTGCACACTCACCCTACACCGTAGGCAAGGATCTCGACACCGGATATCCGCCGTTTGGAGATCCTGATTTTGGGGCAGAATCATTTTTCAATTCTGCCGGTTACACCAGCATCTCTCAGGCCAATTATCCTACGTCAAATGTCCACAACCAGGGTAGCAGTGCTTTTAACGTCGTGCAGAGTAACCCTACATTTAACACTTCGTATTCGCCTTCAGGTAACTACACCTTTATATAAATTTTGATACTCTATTGTGTATATAGAGAGTTCAAAGTAGGTGTCTCAAGATGTAAGATGCATTTTGGCTCGGGGAAGATAGACAAAGGAGGCTCGCCTCTTTTGTCTTTCTTTACCCTCCCCAAAATACAACTTATATCTTAAGACACTGGTTATGTATTCTATTTACCCTTCAACATTGATTGAAAATCAGACAATCAAAACTTCAACAGTTTAATCTTTGTTTACCTGTCGTTGACCTTACGCTGAATTTTGCCTGATGGCGTACGCCAAAATAATTGCTTCGCGCAGAAATACAGATGTTACTCACTCTACCTTCACATTCAACCCTGGATAATTTTAATCTACACTTGGTAACATGTGGTGATTGTTATTTCATGTCTGTTTTATTCCTGTAGATTACTATAGTCCGGGTTACCCACAGCCTTCCAAACCCCTAGTGGAACACGTGTCTGTGATTCAGCAGAGAAACCCTATCCCGTCTCCTTTTCACAACGACATGAGCGACCCACTTAACTTACTGGACAAGCCACAGCGTCACAAAGACCTTCATCTCTATAGCAACGGGAGCCCTGCAAGTTGTCACAGTCCAAGAAGTAAGAAACGTTAAAACACCAATAACCAGAGTAGTCTGTATTGGTATAAACTATTGTACTGTACATGGTTGTCACTTTTCATCCCGGGTATATGGTTTCACAACAAGTGTTTCGCCGTTATCCTAAAATAGCCTAAGCTACTAGTATACAAATGTTATATAGTTTCATCACATATTTGTACCAAAAATACTTTCTAAAATGTGGAAAGAAACAATTTTGACCAATTACTATGTATTCTGTTTCTGAACGTAAACCTTTGATCTTTGCAGTGCATCACGAGGGTATTGGACAGGACATCATAGGTATGGCGGTCAGTGGGATGTTGACTGGCGATCATGACATTTCCCCTAGCTTTAATGACCCTGGGCCTTTACCTTCTATCAACACGGTATTCATGACGTGACGAAAGTTTAACCAATAAACATTAAAAGAAATTAAATCCCTACTTTTTATACATGTTGGTGCTACCCAATACAGAGGAGGGAATAGTCTGGCTACAGCACGGCGGATTGTGTGAAGAACGGTTTATATCGTAGCAACAGTTTTCAAATGCGACAGTTCGAATCCTGGTCACAGCACCATGATTTAAGTCTGAAATACGTGCTTTATAACCCTCAGAGGATTTGAATGTTAAACTGATTGTTCGAGTTACTAAGTGAAGGAAATCCTGCCGATGTCTCATTGTATTAATTGTGTGCCATATTGTGTCACAATGCTGACGAGTGTCTGTTGTTCGTAACTGTTCAGAGAATATAAAGACGAAATGATCATTGTATTTCCTGCTGGTCTACAGGGAGATGATTCCAAACAATATGGATTAGAAACTCGGCAATATCGTTTTGTGCTTTATGTTGCTATAATTTTATGGTTTATATTATGAAGACAAGGAAATGAATTGTGTTAATATATTGACGAGATATTTGTGAGATTCCACTTAATTTGAAAATATGTGACTGACTTGTACAGAACAAACTGGTGGTGATAGAAGTAAATATGCATAAACAAGGAGATAGAAACACTGTATATATAATATATATGTATAAATGTATCTTTTTATTCCGTATCAGTACACTGTACTAGGTATGGTATTTTTTGTATTGTACATGGGTGGTCTTTTTGCGGACAACTCGGAGCTGGTGCAGATCTGTTTGAACACACTATTGAGTGAACATATTATATAAATATATCCATACAGTTACAGGCATTTGAATTAAGATTGTAAACATACCCCTTTAATTCTTAAAAGATTAATGTTCGATCTAAGGATTGTTAATATTTATTTAACAAACGATCTATACGTTTCTAAATGATAACTAGTAATATATTTACCATCAAGTTCATGCGCCTGTGATATTAGTTAGAATTGTATTCTAGACTGTAAAATATAGCTGTAATGTAAATATGTATTAGATGCTACTTGTCTTGCCATATTTAAAGAATATTGATTCAGCAATATCGTGTCCTATATACCGCTTACCGATATACTATCCCTATAATGTTGTCACCGCTTGTTATATATTTGCAATGGTTTTAATATATCATTCACTCAGACATTTCCAGTGATTTTTCAGTCCATAACCATGCTTATGAAAGGATGGTGCATTTTACTGATCTTCAGTTCTGGTCAAAACGGTGATTCAATAGGTCGAGAAGAATTATATTGCCCGAGTCGAAAACACTTGAGAAACATGTCAGGGGTGTGTATTGCTAGTATATGGAAATGATGCAACGAAAATACTCCAAGCCGATTGGTCATATTTGAACGTTTATCTTATGTTAACGGTAATATTTGGCGGTTGTCATGACTTAATCAAGAAGTGCTATCGTGATATAACATAAAATTGTGTAGTGAGTTGACACATAGTCGCTAATGTAACCGCTCGTATGAAAATGAAGTAATCAGTTGTACATGCATAAAGCTGTCAGTGTGTGTTAATCCTACAAGAGACAAAAAAAAAATGATTATCTCCCCTTATTAACACAGAACAAATAAATCACGCTCTACAAATTGCATTGAAACAAAAACAATGATACGTAGAAGTGATAATATGTAAGAGCAAAATACAACACAGCGTCAACATATATCAATTTACTCTGAATAATTCGTCTATTTTTCGGGGTTCTTTTTTTCAAAATAGTATCGACTTTTCATCTTTGTTCTTTATCCCGGTTAATATAACTCAAGAACTGCCAATATTTTTCTCACATAAGATTGATTCAGAAGTTTTAAAAATAATTTAAACTCGATGTGTACGCCCTTCACCTTGAATTCATACGGCAGAGTTATCGATGACATCACAATAAAATGATACAGATGCTGTAAACTTCTGATGAAAAATGTATGTCATGTACTCGATACACTAAGTAATAGATCATACACCAAGTGTCGTGGTTAATAACAGATTGTAAAACAAGAGTCTTGGTTAATAACAGATTATACAACATGTGTCTTGGTTTCAATAATTAATTAATCTGTCACATGCAATATATATCTAAAAAAGCAATTTTACATTAATAGATTTTCTTAATGATCAGTCATTAATTTCCTAAATGCAATACTATAAAATGCTCTACAAGCAATGGATCGGGCCGGTGTCAAGAGTACACTTGTATCCCTGCAATGTTTTAACCCGGCGTGGTGAGTGAAATGTTTCTGATCGGTGTCACGAGTTAAGTAATATCACTGCCATATATGGGCCTTTGGCGGAAGTAAACCCAAACAATGTCGCCGACGAGAGGTTTAACGAGTTATTCAGGCTGTTGTGAGTAAATATAGTGTCTTCAACCGATATCACGTGCAAACAAATCTTATTAATGCAATATTTCAGATAAATACTGTAAGAGAAATAATATATTTACTAATAAATAGCCTGAGATCCCGCTTTATTGAATTTACGAAAGGAGGGCCTGTTTACCTTTGATTCATCTGTTGAGGTATTAGACAATGATAAACATTCATTACCGAATTAGTATGGAGAGTTAGCATTTATTTCTGATGTAATGATTCGTAAAACTATTTATAGTTCAATATTTTTTCGAAAATTATTATTTCCATTTTTGTTCTTGACCATAAACATAACTAAATATTGCAGATTAGTGATCTAGGTAGAATATTACTGAAGACTAGATTCCCACTCGAAATTTCCGGTGAATAATTCATCCTAGGTGAATCTACTCCAGAGAGTACATATTATTCATTTTAGTTTAATAGGCTTTTACAATGATCTATGATAGTTAACATTCCAGACTTACTTTTACTTCTCGTAAAGTAATAGAAAGAAATGGTTGAATTATTCCCCAAATAAAACATTCCAAGAGGATATGCTCCTAAATTCCAATATTTCTAATTGAAATTGTCCTGAAGACTTTTTATCTATTGTTCTTGAGAACGAGCATCTGTATTGAATTAATTGAATTGCCCTCCCACAAAATGTCAAGAAGTTTAAATTGATTTGTGAAATTCTAACCGGAAATTGATTAAATTGTCTGCCTAGCAATAACTATTCTTCCCGTTTAGTGAATGAAATGTTTGTTTTGAAATTTAAAATATATTTTTATACAAATAATGCTTAACATGTTATTCAATTTCCCATATAAAATTTGCATAATTCTAAAACAGTCAGTCACTATCGTTAACACTCCGAGGAGATTTTAAAAATCTCAATATATTTAGTACATCAACAGTAAGTAGGTCACTCAGGTGGCTAACGAATTGATTCATATTACCTACAGAACTATGCAAAAGACGCACAAGCGATTAAACCTATCAATCAGAAATAATGAATTAAACTTCACCATACAGGTTTTTGTCCTACTAGAACTAGTCAGCGATGCTAAGAACCTAAATTTTGAAACCTAAGGTAAATTAAGATCGACTGAATTGAATGTCGTAATCTAGACGGTGAGATACAGTAAAATAAATTTACATATATCTGGTAATTTCAAAAAACCGTCAAGTGTGTATATTAAACCGTGCCACTATTCAAATGTTTTAAACCGTGACATGTAGGTTACGACAAACCTCGTGACATACATATATACACGGTTTTAAAGGTGACATTCACTAATAAATGTTTATAAAATGCTACACGTTTGTATATCATCACCATTGTCACATTTGCCTTGTGTCATACTTATTAAATGGAGTTTATTCTGAAATACTTGTTGTGAATAGTTTATAAATAGCATCAATTAGTAAGTATTTGTTCATTGAATGTTCACATACCTGACGTGAAATGATAAACAATTTGCCTGAATATTGTCATAAGAATGATGTATGACGTGATTTTGATAATAAAAAATCAACAGAATCTGATTGTTTTGTTTTTAATATCACATAATACTTATGATTGTCACTTCAACCCTCCAAAGCATAACTCCAATCATTTGTAATTTACAGGCATATTGGTGAAAGTAATCTTAACACACATTACCTTCATACATACGTATTATTGGTGCCAGACAGTTCCATCTTCAAGTGAGTCTTTTAGTCTATTTTAATATGTCAAATTATGAACTATAAATTTTAAAAACATCAAAGAACAGTTTCGTCCGTTTAGGATTCATTTATGATGCTAGGGTTGACAGTGTGTACTTTCGCTGGCGCAAGTTGTGCAAAAGCGCCAAGAATAATTATAGATCTATAGGAGATGGGTAGCAGGTAGGAGAAGCGCATGGTAAAAATGGAAAGGGCTGGAAGACGACAATTGTTATTATGTGAAATTCTAAGTAATGATTATGTCTTAGAGCTATGACATCGTGTTAAGGGCAGGATGCTGCATGTACACATGTGGTGATGATAGAATTAGTAAGCACAGAATTATTTACGTTAGAGACTTGGGTGGCAAAGTTATACGAATATCATGGTAATGATAGCTGTTTGTTCCCTTAGGGTGGAATGTTTCAAAATATACCGATAAAGTGACAGTTTCCTGTATGTAAACATATTGTATCTGATGTGCATTCTCAGTTCGTCTCCGTCATTGCCCTTTACATATGGCGGTTGTAGACCTTCTTCATGTCTTGCTCCGTTAAAGATCAATCTTCTGGTATATATATCTTGTGGTATATAACGATTGTTTTCAATCTTTAATGAATATTCTCAGACAACACTAAAAACAATGAGAGAGGAAGACACGTAACAGGTGTAGAGTGTGCACGTGTGTGAAACACAAACGCATAAACATAATGAACCAGGTACCGATTAGACGAAGGTCAAATAGCATTACTGGACATAATAGCATTAGGTAACATTACTGGACATAATAGCATTAGCTAACATTACTGGACATAATAGCATTAGGTAACATTACTGGACATAATCGCATTAGGTAACATTACTGGACATCATAGCATTAGCTAAAATTACTGGACATAATAGCATCAGGTAACATTACTGGACAT